AGTTGTTACAACCTGAAGGAAAAATATGACACTATTCACGGGGTTCAGTTTTTTTAAGTTGCATAACGAGCCAGGCTACGTTCAAAAACGAAAAAAAAACAAAACAGAAAACAATTACACCATTGCAACAATTAACACATTATGAAGAAAAAAAACTCTTTTGATCCGTCGCCCTGTTAAATTACATGGATATTTTGAAACCAAATTTGCCTTGAGCTAAACCACATCCGTCTATAGAACCCTTTTATACAATGCAAAATCCACAATAGCAGCAACTCTGCACACCGCTAACTTACTTCATTGACGGTCTCAGTCTTCACGTAAATGCTGCAAATATATATTTTTCCAATACGTCCCAAGGTGTTGATGACATCATGAGATTTGAGTTTGTCATGGTTATGCGCAATTTGGAAGTTACAAGACGCACTGTTCCCAATTCCCATATAAAAGGCATAAACAAAACAAAAAGACCTGCCAAACTCTAAACTCTTTTCAATTCAACTTGACTTCTATTATTAAGAGCGCCCCATTCGTTTTTCTAGATTGTTCAATTCTTGTAGAGCTCCATTCATTATTCTTCTAAAGACTTCCAAAGACTTCTAGAGCTCCATTCATTATTCTTCCATATAATCCATTCATTATTCTTCCATAGACTTTTTTTTTAAAGGATAAAATACGTTCCATTTGTTTAAGAAACATTTTGTCCTTTCACAATCTAACTCGGAATGCAAATAATTTGTCTATAGTTTTTTATAAATAATTGGAGACATTCATCTACAATTTACTAACCAAATATAAATAGAAGTATCCCTTTCATCTTTATTCTATAGAGTTTTTTTTTCTTTTTCTTTTCCATGTTAGCCATTTAGGTGTGTACATTTATATCCCTTTCAACCTCAACATCAAGTGTACATTTTCTAAGAAAAACTTCAATTTGAAAAACTTTACCATCATTTTACAACGACATAAAACTGCTGAGTTAATATTACACGTTCTCTTTGTTATCTTACCATCGACAATGAGTCTGATACACATGACAAATCATTGCAGTCTTCTCTTGAATCAGGTTAATAAAATAAAACAATAATAAATTAATTTGGTTTTGGGGCCCACCACTTGGGGGCACAGTATATGTGGGGGAATAAGGAAGTTTCTTGAAGCCCAAACACATTACGCAGCTTCTCGATCTTCTTCCTTCGTTTTCAACATTTCATAAATTTAAAATAATACAATACAATCAACAACTATTCTTCTCCCTTCGTAACTTTCAGGGGACGTTTCTGCTTCTTCTTTACTTCCGATTCCGATGATTTCGCCGCCGGTTGATCGGACCGATAACGGTGAATCCGCCATGGTTTCCGGTGAATCTCAGAGATCTGTTCCGACCCCGTTTCTAACCAAGACTTTTAACCTCGTCGAAGATCCTTCCATCGACGATATCATCTCCTGGAACGATGATGGTTCTTCCTTCATCGTCTGGAATCCAACTGATTTCGCTAAAGATTTGCTTCCTAAACACTTCAAACACAACAATTTCTCAAGCTTCGTTCGTCAGCTCAACACTTACGTACGCGAAATTCGATCGATTTCTTCTCCAGATTCCGATTTCGTTCGTAGATGATGATGATTCTGGATTTTTTCTAAATCG